TTTCGAATTCGAAAAGTGATGTTTACAGAAAATCATCTTTTGAAAACATCAATCATCCCGACAATCATCCAGAAAAAAAAAACTTACCAATTTTGTTGTTGTCGATTTTGTTGTTGTTGTTGTCGATTTTGTTTTTGTTGTTGTTGTTAAAATTGAATTCAATTCATTTTGATAATTTTGTGTCATCGATATGAATGGTATTTGAAAATGTTCCGATATTAATGATGTATAAAATGAACGATAATTATCTAATAATGAAAGTATTATGTTTGGTTTATGTATTTTTATCCATTCACAAGTTGATTGTAATATACGTTCAGTATCATTTTCAATTGGTTCCGAGTAAATTGTTAATTGTAAATCTGATGCACGTAATTGTTGAATATTATTCTTGGCCATTACAGTTTGGTTATCATTATCATTATCATTGAACCAATAATCAGATTTATGAGTGGATATTTCCCATTTTGATTGACCATCTCTTAATGCACGAGTGATTAATGGTGCATTTTCCGCAGGTAACAATGCTAATATAATGAATTGTTCAGGAATTGTATCCAATTTTGTTACAATACTTCTTCGATGACGATGATGATTAGGATTAGGATTAGGATGATCAATGTTTTTTATGATTGAAGTAGCTGATTTGGTTGTATTAGTTGCTGTTGTTGTTGAAAAATTTGATACAATTTTTACAGTAGAAGACATTGATGCAATGGGTGATGCGGTGAATGATGATTTGGCTACAAATTTTTCAAATGAAGATGATTGTTGTTGTTGTTGTTGTTGATCACCCGAACACAGATAAACAAAACAAAGTAAAAATATCACAATAAAAATTTTATAATAAAAAATATATGATCCTATATTTGAATAATAATTATTATATTCTATTGAAGAATTTTTGATTGTAGCGTTTTTAGCGGTCGATGTAGCGTTTTTAGTGGTTGTCGCTGATTTTGATGTAGCAATTTTTGCCGTTGTTGTTGTTGAAAATGATGGACGCAATGATGATGATTGTATTGTAACGGAATTTTTTTGATGACTACAGCTAACATTATTATTAATAGTAGCTGTAGTCGGTACTGTAATTGTAGCATCTTTGATGCTGAATATTGTTTTGGCGCCATTGGCGCCATTTTTAATTGTTTGTCCATTCACAATCAATGATGATGATGATGATTCAATCGATTTAATTGATGATATTAGATAATCATTTGATTTACAATCGGGCAATGATGATAATGGTTGTTGTTGTTGTTGATTCGAATCAAAATCAATTAACCGATTTGATTGATTTGTTGTTGTTGTTGTTGTTGATCTTGATACTGCTGCTGATGTTGATGATGATTTTGATTGTTTTTGTTGTTTTGTTGTTGTTGTTGTTGTTGTTGATGATAATTTGGATAATGATGATATGATGGGCACCGTTTGATGGATACTTCGGCGCACATTGCCCACATTCATTTGATGTTCAAACAATCAATAGCCTTATAAAAATTAGAAAATAAAAATAATTTAAACAGGAATAGCAGGTATTTTTCCAGGAAATTTCTTCAAAATTTTTGAAAAATTTGAATAACATTGTTGAAATTGATTTATTCATCGTTTTCGATTTTTGTCGCACATTTTTTTTTTTTTTTTTTTGAATATTTTTTTTTTGATTGTCGAATTCGAAACAAAACAGAAAACAAAAATTGAGGACGAAACAAAAAATTTGGGGAAAAAAATAAAGAAAACAAAATTGAAAACAGCGAAAGAAATTCAGAATAACATCACAACATTGAAAACAACAACAACAACAACAGTGGAAATTAAAACTTCAACAAAATTCTTTTTCGTTTCGCTTCTTCTTTTCCAAAATTGCTAATGTTTTATTCTTGGTTGGTTGTTTTTTGATTTTGACACAAATAAACTCTAAAGATGACACCATCACTTGATGCAACTAAGAGAGAGAAAAAAAAACATAAAAATATCATCATTGAAATCTGTTTAAAATTAAATTTCAATTAAATCAAAAATCAATTTGTCATTTTCACTGGATTCTTCAAAAGCTGATTAAAAGAAAGAAAAAGAAATCCGAATTTGAAAATCTAAATCTAAAATTAACGTTTTTCAATTCTGCAACTTGGTTTGGTTGATGGGCGAACAAATAAAAAAAAACTAATGAATGAAAATTGCCTGTGAAGAAAGACTGACTGAATGAATGACTTGCATCACCAAAGAATATTGATTCTTTTCTTCTTTTCTTCTTAGTGAAGAAGAAAAAGAAGACAAATCAAATGTTCTCAAGCATTTTGTGTGTGTGTGTGTGGTGTGTGCTTTGAATTTATTATTCAAAAGTTGTTGTTTGAATTGTTTTTTGAAAATTTTCAAATAGTGATAAAGAAAAGCGAAGAATGAATGAATGAAATGGAGAAAAAGGAAACAAAAAGAAGGAAACAAAAGGGAAAGCAAAAAAAAGTTTCCAGAAAACTTTTTTTTTGAGAAGAAAAAGGGGAAATTGAACGACCATCATCAACATCATTGAATAAAATCTTCATTCTTTTTTTACTTAATCTTCAGTTTTTTTTTTTTGCTTCATTTTTCCCATCTTGGTTAGGTTGATTAAACCTTTTGGATTATTTCATCAACGTAACACGTAATTGACTAATTGAGATTGATTTCAAAACATGATTTTTTTTTCGACAATAATATATTCTGTTGTTGTTGTTGTTGTTGTTGTTATATGAACAAACAACAACAACAACAACCGATATCATGAATAAATAAACACAATGCAAAAGATTTATAAGATTCTTTTTTTTACACTGAAAAACTACAAAATTCTTTACAAGAATCTTATGTCAGTCGATCTGTCATTCATTCGTTTTTTTGGTGAGTTAAGAATTGAATTAAGTTATCAAGTGTGTATGGTGAAAAAAACAAAAACAAAAACCCAAAAAAACCCACGAAAATCATCAACAACAACAAGAATGAAAAACAATTAACGGTGAAAATGAGAAAAAAGAAGATTAATTAATTAATTAACAAACGAAAGAAAGAATTCCTGTTGTTTTTGTAGTAGTTCCTTTTGTTGTTGTTGTTGTTGTTGATTTGAGACAATCCGGTTATAACAACAACAACAAAAAAATGCCAAACTGAAACCGCACATACCTTTTGTAATCAAACAAAACAAAAAAACAAACCACTAAAACTAAACTATAGTTTCTTCTCTCATTGCAAGAATCCAATCAGAAACAAAAAAGAAAAAGAAAAAGAATCCAAAGACGAAGAATATTCTGCTGATTCAACGTTGAAAACATTCGCCGTTGTTTATTTCCCATTAATTCTCGCATTCTCCACATTTCATTACATTACAATTTATTTATTGTCTCTCTCTCTCTCTCTCTCTCTTTTATTATGATTGTAATTAATTGTATCACATTTTTCTTTTGTAATTTTGCTTTTTGCTACATTTTTTTCTTAGCCAATTTTTTTTGGCTACTTTTCATCATCATCATCATCATCATCAATAACCAATATGATTGGAAAGAAGAAGAAGGTCAAGAATGATAATATTCTGTTGTTGTTGTTGCTAAACACGATTTGTTGTTGTTGTTTTTTGCACACAAAGCTACTTATAACACATTAATAATATTGTTATTAGCCATTATTATTTGTAAAAAACAAAAAAAAGAAGAAATTCTTATTAACGAACAAATTAATGATGAACCGAAAAAGGATCGAAATAGGCGAAACGAAAAGAAACATGAAAATGACTGAATGCAGAATCAAGAATCGACTATTTTCACTTTGGTCATCATTTTCATTTGTTTTTTTCCTTCGGTTGATTCATTCATTTCATTTTGTTTCTTGCCAATAAGATTCATTTAACAACGACAGCGACGACGACCAATAAGTTTTTCTCTTTGTTTTTTTGTGTTTTGTTTTTTCCTCTCAATGGATTAAATAAAATAGTCAAACTTAATGTATACGATAATAATAATAATCAAGCGCTTAGCCAAGAAAATAAAAGGAGAAGATTCTAAACACAGACAGATAAATAGACAATCCACAATAGATAAATAGACATTCAGTGTTTGCCAGCCAGAATGAGTGAAAATTATTATTATCATTATTTTGGTCTGTGTGTTTCAAATACGATAAGAAGAGAGAGAGAGAGAGAGAGAGAGAGAGAGAGAGAGAGAGAAAGAATTAAACATCCCAAAATTATCCAATATCGTTGGTGTTTGTTGTTGCTTGTGTTTTGAATTGAATCATAAAATCTTCTTTTTTCAAATTGAAATTAAAATGAACATTGACATTGAACAACAATGAAAGAATTTTTTTCCTTGTTGATTAAACAATAAAAGTAACATTTAATAATAAAGTGAAAATAAGAAAATTTTTCTCAGACTGGCTGTGTGTTCAAAGAATTTTTAACGAATAAAATGACAAATGAACAAATATCCGAGTCAAACATGAAAAATTATCAAGTCCAAACATATGGTATTTCCAAACAAAAATTGAAATTTGATTAATGATTTTTTTGGCATTTAAAACGAGAGAAAAAACAAAAACAAAAAAGCCTAAAGTCACAAAAAAAAGATGTTTTGTTTACTAGTTTCAAATTTGCAAAATATTCCATAAGAATAATAATTTCTTTTTCGTTTGCCTATTTTAACCTATTCCAAGCTTGCATGAGATGTGTATTCGAAGTCGAACTAGAATGGAAAGATAGAATTCTTTCTTTTTTTCAATAGACAGAATAGATTCTGGGCGCCATACGATTGTTGTTGTTATTGTGGTTTGTAGCCGAATCAAATCATATCATTTTCATCTGTTACCAATGATGATTCTGACGACGTTTTTATGGATTCTGATTTTGATTATTCTGTAAAAAAATGGGAATCGATTATTTTTCTAATGCTTAAAACAAAGAATATTCCAATTGAAACAAGGCTAGACACAAAAAACGTTGGTTTACAAATAATTTATTTTATTGATTTAAAAACAAGCAGAGAAAAATAAAAACAACAACAATCATAATGATCACAATTTTAAAAATGATGTTACTGGCCCTTTTATATGTGCGCAGTTTGTCTTAAATACGACCTTGACCAAGTTAATGTATGAAACCCATTCATGGTCAAAANTAGACACAAAAAACGTTGGTTTACAAATAATTTATTTTATTGATTTAAAAACAAGCAGAGAAAAATAAAAACAACAACAATCATAATGATCACAATTTTAAAAATGATGTTACTGCCCTTTTATATATGCGCAGTTTGTCTTAAATACGACCTTGACCAAGTTAATGTATGAAACCCATTCATGGTCAAAATTTTTTGTCCATTCCTGCCCCCTCCAATGGCGCAAGCCGTTGTGCAGGACGTCGATATTTTCGTTTGTCCAATTCGACCTCATACGTTCTCACGATTCCTCGTTTATCTGGTATTGTATTCGTGACCGTAGCGATTTTCCATAAACTAACGGGAAGATGATCATCAATCATTAACACTTTATCTCCGACTGCCATATGTTGATATGTGTGGCCATTCCGATAGAATGACCGCAGTCCCTTTAGATAGATATCCCGATAGATCCGCCAAGCGGCGTCGATATGCTTTTGTGTTCCTCGCCAGTATGACAACAGTGGCTCCACGGGTAAACCACGTTTCGGTGGCACCAACGGCCCCTTTGGATTATAACCAAATCGTAGATGATTTGGTGTCAATATCGTATCTTTATCATGAATTAACGGACGTCCATTCATGATCGCTTGTATTCGATATAATGCACGTCTAATGTCATTTCGATCCAATTTCCGTTGCCAATTGATACAATAAAAACCTTTCTTCATGGTCTTGATCAATGATTCGAAAAAACCTCCACGAAATGGAGATGCAGGCGTATTGAAATGCCATTTAAATTCGTAATTCAATTTGTGCAATGCACTTTTCAATAATTGACTAAATTTCTTTAGATTTGGACCATTATCAGAAAATATAGTCATCGGTATTCGATTTAGATCAGAGAAAACCATAAAGGCATTACAAATACTTTGTGCGGTAGCATCTTCCAATAATTCAAAATGTACCGATCTCGTAGTAGCACATGTAAATATCATACCAATAGCTTTCGGTTCCGTTTTCAGTTCGAACAAATCAACACCAATATGTTCAAACGGCTGACTACGATTCAATCTTTCTGGCGGTGGACATCCTAAGAACACGTCCAACGGTTTTGCTTGTAAAGCACGACATTTCGAGCACTTGTTTTTTATGCGGATCAATAATTGTCTTGCTTTTGGTACAAAATACTTCGTACGTAAATTCGATAATGTATAGTTTACAGATCCGTGTTCATCTTGTTCATGTAAATTGGTTAAAAACGATGTAGTAAAAGCACATTTAGGTAAAATCAATGGATATTTCTCATCGTACGTAAAATCAGCATTATCAAGTCGACTTTGACAACGTAAAATCTGGTTATCATCGATAAACATTGGTATATTTTTCCGCATATCATCGGTAATAAACTTTTGTTGAATTAATTTAATTAAAATCGTTAACGAATTTTCATTAGTATCAATCGTCTTCTTCCAATCTGACGGTTGTTCATCAATCAGTTTAATCCAATCATCGTAGCTTAATTCAGCATCCAAATCGATGTTCGATAGATCATAATTCGCGGTAGTCAATACGGTGGTTGTAATCATCATCACGTTCGTGTCATCATCATTAACAATATCATTAAGATTACAACGATGTAAACCATTAAGCTGATCAACATTCACACCACGTGTAAACGCGTCCGCTGGATTGATGTTTCCTGGTATATGACGTATCTCGTTCACTTTCATTTTGATATTATACAAATGAACGGCAACTGGATACGGAAATTTATTAATATCCTGCGTCAGTCGATGTACATTGTCCATTGAATCCGAGAACATAACGGTTCGTTTCGGATGGATCATTTCCTTCAAGGAACTTGCTACGTTTGCACCATATGATAGGGCTAGCAATTCACCTGTAACGATTTTTCGATGTTTGATCAACTTCGACTTTGCGTAAACCAATGATAAAATTCGACCATCCGACACGTAAGCAGCAATACCAATGGCATTCTTACTGGCATCAACAAAAATCATTAAATCATAGGTACTCACGGTTTGGTCAAACATAAAACGTTTAAACTTAAAAGTTTTCAACTTATCGATTTCGACCACCGCTTTCAATACATCACGTGCTAAATTGTTTGGCATCACCTCGTCCCAATCAAGTCCTTTCATCCATGCTTCGTGAACCAATAATTTCAATTTAAAACTGGTAGCCAGAACGAAACCAAATGGATCATAAATTGATGCTAAATAGCTCACTACATTTCGCTTCGTGATCGGTTCGTTACTTTTAAATTCGGGAATGGCGATTTGAAGATGATCATCGTTGGTCCATTCCATTCCTAATACTTTCGATTCGGCTAAATCATCGTTCCATTGTCGATTTAAATCATCATCCGATGTTCGCCACTTTCGTAAATTCATTGATGCATCCGAAAATATCTCAATACATTGTTGTTTGATACCTTCAACTTCAATTGCATCGTCAGCTGAGAATATCATATCGTCGACGTATAATCCATCACGAACCATTTTTACCGCGTTCGGATATTTATCTTGATACTTTTTAATATGATGATTAATCACTGCGTACAATACGAACGGGCTCGACGATAATCCAAACGGTAATCTGTTAAATTGATAACATATTAATTGATCGTCATTATTCATCCAAAGAAACTTGATAAACTTCCGATGTTCCTGTTGGACTTCGATATTGTGGAAGGCGGATTGAATGTCACTGATCACGCCAATCGGTTTCATCCTGAATGTCAATATCGATCGAATAATACTCCAGGACGTGATGCCCTTGAATATTGCCTTGTTTAACGGTTTCGAACCATGCGACGCATGGAACACCATTCGCAACTTTGTGGTATTTTTATCTTCTCGTGCCACCACAAAGTGCGGCATATGATATCCGTCATTCGTAATAATTTTCGTCGATTCGATTATTTCCTTCTGCTCTAAATCGGTCAATAATGCTTGATATTCTTCACGACGCTTTTCGTTCATACGTCGAATCATATTTGTCGTAATATTTTTAGCGGCTACAAAATTTGAGTCGATGTCTACGTTATTAATAAATGGTAATTTAATTGAATACCGTTTCCGGCTTTCGTCGTATCGTACATTGTCGTCGTTACAATAATTGATGATGAACTTTTCCATAGCGTCTTTCGAAACATCATCAACATCGTATTCTGGACTTGTTTCCTGCATATCGTTTTGATACAATGTCAACAATATGTTTTCCGTTTTCGTTAGACCGAACACTAGCCAACCTAATGTCGTCTTTTTCGCAATAATTTTGTCAGTTATACGTCGTTCATCGTTCAACTGGATTAAATTGATATTGTCAAGTCCGATTAATAAATCGACAGCACTTGGTTCGTCCAGAAATTCAATACCAATATTTCGTAATTGTTCTTGATCATGAACCGATAAACAATCAAATCGTAATTTATTCAATTTTTCGTTCAAACGGAAATTCAAATCTTCCTGATGACCATTCCAAATCGGTAAACGTAATTTAACACATTGATCACCAGTCGTCGTAGGATTAGAATTACTTAATGTGTCCATATGGATAGGATCAACATTTTCGTACGGTAATTGCCATAAATCGGCCAATCTTTTTGATATAAACGATACACCGGCACCATCATCGAATAATATACGTACCTTCCTGTTATTGATTGTCGTAACGATAGTTTTATGCAGACTTTTTTCATTCATGGTCAGCATCACTGGCGTATTCGTAGATGATGATGATGACGTAGCAACTTGTTTTGGTACGGTTTCACTAGGATTTGAACCATTCACTACAGAACTGGTTTGCGTACTCGATCGTTTGTAATCGCGACAGAGGAAGGACAAATGACAACGTCCACATATCGTACATTTCACAGTGCGATTACAATTCCGGCTTTGGTGATTCGTATAACCGCAGCGGAAACACATTCGATTATCGATCATAACTTTTTTACGTTGTTCGGCGTCCAATGTACAATCAGCTGTAGCATGATCGCCATCCTGGAACAAACATTTTGTTTTCGCCGACGATACCATTACGTTCTTGTTCCTATTATTCACGACCACCGATTTACGTGGATTATTAGCAGCAGCAATATCTTCGGGATCGATCTGAGATCCAATGGTTCTCTCACGATTCCAACCATGTTTGAGATAATCCTCGATTTGTTTCAACGTAACTTCTTCTTCTTGACCAATATTAGTGAAATGAATACGATCGATTTTTGCCATTATCGGGCTGATCAGGCTAAATTCCTCGGTTTCCAAACCAGTCGTGCGTAACGTATTTCGTACGAGAATAACCGTTTCGGTCATTGTCTCCCATTCCTTTTCCGTCGGTCGTAATGGCAATCTGACTGCAGCCCGTATACGTGCTTTCAAGGCTGGGATAACCCGACTTCTACCTCCATAGTGGGAATCCAGGATTTTCAATACCTCAGCCATGTCCGGTTCAACCTGATCTACGCGATCGAGGATGTATTGATGTTTCTCGGGAAGCAAATCACGGATTTCCATCAGCTTGTTCAGGTTACCTCGTAATTGCGGATTGTTAATTAGATAATGCGATATTGTCTTTCGAAATACCGGATATCCAATTGGATCACCATCGTACTTTTTTAAACGTTTCGCTTCAATCTTTGGACCTGTACGTGGTTGGTAACCATAATCCCACCAAAATGGTTGCGCTTCATTATACGATGTTTGATTGCTTGATGATGTTGTGGCAGCATCCGTTGTTCCTTCACTTGGAGCAACATCATTCTTGTCGTCTTGTTCGATCGATAACAATATAAACTGTCGCTCCAATTCCACCAATTGTTCTTCCATGTTCGGGATGCAGCTGACCACGACTTTCATATCATCAAGCTTCTTCCGCGTAATTTTATTATCATGATCGATAGCTTCTTTTTTCCGTAATCGGTTTAGCCCATTGTTGATAATAGCGAAACCAGAACTTATTCGTAAGATATCATCGATTATTGGTTTAAAGCTATCGAACTCTTTTTCTTCAGCAGTCGATAGGGCGTTGCTTTCGATTATTTTGTTGCACAACCGGTAATATTCGTTACTTAAACGTTTCATTTCCTGGTGATCTTCGAGTTCGCCCAAACCCTTGATCTTATTTTCAGCAAACCGAATCTCAGCTTTGATCCGTTTGACCTCGGCTTTGATTTCATCCGGTGTCATATCCGTATCGTATGTCCTTCCGGAACGTGTCGTAACCATTGGTTAATAAATACAATAAATAATACAATAAATAAGCGTAAAAACGTGATTGTAAAAACCGATGATATAATAAAATCGTACAATGATTCTTCTTCCGTAATAAATATGATGATCGTAATCGTTAAAATCGTACACTATTTCCTTTCCGTTATAGACGTAATTGATCGTAATCGTAAGATCGCACACTGACGTGATTGATCGTATCCGTAAAAACGTACAAGATGGTGTTGCGTAAATATCGATGATGTCAAGACAAAGATGTTTAAACGTAATCAATATCGTAATCCTTTTTTCGTAGATCGATGTCTAGACAATATCGTACACCCGTAATAAATCGTAATGATTGGTGTTTCGTAAATATCGATAATCTCAAGACAAAGTTGTTTACACGTAATAAATATCGTAAAACCTTTTTTGTAAAAACAATGTCCAGACGATCTCGTACACCCGTAATAATTCGTAATCGTAAATCGTAATCGTAAATCGATGTTGCCAAGACAATGTTGTTTCGTAATAAATATCGTAAAACCTTTTCGTAAGAACAATGTCGAGACGCTATCAGATTATTCGTGCTTCGTAATTTCGTACCGTACGTGATATCGTGACGTTGTCGTTAGTTTCCTGTTGTTTTCCGTACGTGAATTATTGTAACCTTCGTAATCGTGCTTCGTAACGTAACGTAAAAATCGTATCGTAACCAGATCGTGACGTAAGCTACTGGTGCTGATAACGTAATAGACACAAAAAACGTTGGTTTACAAATAATTTATTTTATTGATTTAAAAACAANNTTTTAAAAATGATGTTACTGGCCCTTTTATATGTGCGCAGTTTGTCTTAAATACGACCTTGACCAAGTTAATGTATGAAACCCATTCATGGTCAAAAATTTTTGTCCAACTGTAAATAAAAAAAATCGATTATATCGATTGTGTGTTATTCTCGGTATGGCAATCGTTGTTCGAATGTTCCAAAAAAACAACAATAAAAAACAACATTTTAAAATTCTTGAAGAAGATTTCGATGAATGAATCGATAGAATCAGCAGAGTGGATGGATGAATGGATGGAAAGAAACTCAATTATTAGATCAAAAAAATACTTAACAATGATAATCATAATGATTATGATGAAGTAAAAATAAATAAAGAAAATTCGATTAAAATTATGAGATATGAAAAAAAACGAAAAGAAATTCAATCATTATTATCATCATCATAAATTGAATGAAAAAAATCCTTTTTATCAAAATATAATCAAAAGAAAGAAACAAAAAAAAGAATTGGATCAAAAGTAGACAAAAAAAATCAACCATAATTGTCAAACAAATGTCAAACCCAGCGAACAAACAAACCATCCAAAATTTTAAAAAAGTAGTAATTAGCTTTACTGTGATGGTATTGAGTAAAATCAATTGTTTTTTATTTCTTGATGATTCGAATGAATCAAGCGATTTTCTCGAAATGTTATTTTTAAAAAATTTCGGATCAATATTTGGATTTTTTTTGCTTGTAAGTAAAGAAAATGAAAAAAAATCGTTAATAATTTTTTTTTCTTTTTTCTTATTGACCATTTGTAAACAATTTTGAAACATTTTCATCCGTTTGATTTATTTGTTACAAAGTACATATTTCTTTTTGGGAGGAAAAAAAATCATCAATCCTTGTTATATCAATAAGTATGGCTAAAAATAAAATAAAAATTATTAGTTGAATGATTTTCTTGAATTCAATTTGTTTCACAAACATTTGTTGTCCACAAGATCATCATCAACAACAACAAATGAAAAAAAAAGAGAAAGGGATCATATGGATGTGTCGATTCAATTGGTAACAAACATGGATGATACACACATACACACAATTGGCAACAAATAACAAGCAATAGAAAAAAACGAATCTGTTTGTTGTTTGAAACTTTTTTGTTCAGTTCTGTTTTGTTTTGTTTTGCTTTTCAACACAATTCTTAGGCCAATTCTCAAGTTTTTATATAAATATTACAATTCTTTTCTTGATATATTTCGAAAAAGCAAAAAAAAAAGGAAGGAATCATCGTTATTTTTGTCTTTATATATGGATGATGTGAAAATTTTTCTTTCTTTCTTTTTGTTCCGGGGGTAGTCCGATGTTGATAATGATGAAAAGTTTTATAATGCATCAGAAAAAAAATGTCCAGATGTGAAAGTGAAATGAACGAATAAACCAAACTTTTGGTCACACTTCTCACGAACATATCGAACGAACACACCAAAAAAAAATTATTCCAAATTCAAGCTCAAAAACTATTGGAATTAATTATAATTTGATTAAATCAAGCCAAAAAAAAAATGAAATGAAAAACTCATTTTATTGAGAATTCAACAAACAAAAATACGAATTGGTCAGTAAAGAAAAAGAAGAAGAAGAAAAAAATCGTTTGAGAATTCATCACTTTGTGTATGTACGAATCGCTATCGAAATGTGTAGATCAATAAATGTTGTTTGGTGAGAAACTTAAGAGTTAGAAAAGCAAAAAAAAAAAAATGAATTTATTTTCACAGAATACACCAAAAAAGAAGTAATCAAGAGAGAAAGATGATGAGACAAAATTCTCCAAAAAAAAAAACGCAACAACCAATGAGCCAGTGCGAAAAAAAGTTGATTTATCGGCAATGTTTCACCAACAACAAAAAAAAAAAGAAAAAGTTTCGACGTGTCAAGAATAATATCTTTCCATTTACCATTCATTGTCGTTTGCTATTAACTTTACATTTTTTTTTATTTTTTCATTTTTTTTCATATTTGATTGTCGATCGATTGATGATGATGATGATGATCGACACGAATGAAACACATTCTTCAAGTCATTGGAGGTTAGTTTTTTTTAGAAATTCTAAACGAATGATGATAATATTATTATCAAAAATGACAGAAATGATATTATTATTTGTTCGATTCATTGAGATTTTTATATATTTTTTATTTTTTGGAAAAAAAAATTTCGATCATATTTCGTAAAGCTATTCATTGAGTTTTTAATATAATTTCATTTTGGCCACGGAAAAAAACCAGATAATTCAATTTATTATCATTTTCATTATCAATTTGGTGTGTGCGATGTTATCATCATTTGTGGGCACCCTATCGAGTTTTCTGGAAAATAAACTTTACCATCATCTTTGTTTAAGAATTTTTTTTTCTCTTATTTTTGTTTCAACATCATCTTTTCAATCTAATCTTTGAAAAAAATGAATTTTTACTACAGAATTTTCTTTATAAAGAAGATTTCTATCACCTTCTAAAAGGAAATATCATTTCATCCATACAATACATCTAATTAATTTAGTGTGTTGACAATCTACCAATATTTATTATCGATTATTGATTGAATTATCTTTATTGTGGTATATATCAAACATCATATGAATGGATTTATAGATATTTTATTATTTGATCATCAAGAAAGAACAATGTAATTACAATTCACATATTGATTGTTCAATGAATATATTTATTATTTATGGAATAAAAACAATAAATCTAACCTGAAGCAAATTTGTTCCATTGATCAATGATTACTAATGATGATGACAAATTGAAAATTGAATAGGCAAAATTCTTGACCAAACTTGACAATATACATAAGAAGAAATCCAAACCAATATCAATATTTGTTGGAATAAATTCAATTTAGTTTCCTACAATATCATTTTTCCTTACAGCATCTCATCATTTTTTTATTTGGTAATTTCGATTCATTCATGGTTCGGTTTTTTCCTCTTGAATTAATGTGTATATGTTCTAGCGTGTTTTTTGCCTTGTCTTCATGAAAATGTCAATAAACACCGAAAAAAAGTTTCATCAATTTTCAATCGAATGTATTTGATTTTAAATATCAAAATGAATAGATTTGTTTTAGAACAATTGTCTGATAAGACAAATCATCATTATCATTAGATGAAAAAAAAACAGAATAGTCAAAAAGAATCGATAATGAATCAAGATTTTTGTCAATTTTTTTTCTCGTTGTTATTTTTTCATTGTTCTTGATACAGTGATTTTTCTACTCAGATTTTTTTTTCAAAGAATAAGAAACAAAAATGAAATTTTTGTTTTCCAGTTTCAAGTGTAAATTGTAATCATTGATGATAATGATGATGACTAGAAATTATCTTTATTATACACACTCGTACCGAGGAAAAAAAACAAAAATTCATTCAAGAAACATCATTTTCAATAACATTATGTTTCAAGTTTTTTTTTTTGACAAAATTAAATTAGGCGTATAATAAGACAAATTAACAATTGAATGATTTGATTCTTTACAAAATAGAAAATGGGGAATCGAAAAAAATTACATGAAAACAATCTATTTATGTCTGTATATACTTGAGACTTGTTTTTCTTGTTGTTGTTGTCGTTACATAAGTATCTGTGTGTGTTTGAGTAATTTTACTGATCTTGCAAAATAAAATAAAATGAAACTTTAATGACCAAAAATGAGCCATCCGGTTTGTTGTTGTTGTTCTTCTTCTTCATCATATCGGATAGTGATTATGATGATAATAATGATTTTGTAACTGTCAAATAATGTTTTTTATTTTTAGTTTTCATTTTTTTCTCTGGAAAATGATTTAAACAGCAGTAAGTTTGTGTACGAGCCTTCACATCGATGTTTGATCCCGACCAAAAGAAATACAGCTATTATTTTTTTTTTAAATAAGAATTCGAATCGAATAAAAACTATGAAATGTAAACGATCATCATCATCATTATCAATGACGCCCAAAACAAACGAAAAATTGGTTTATAAATACAAGTTTTTTTCCGATTCGTTCAAAACATACAAAAAGTTGATTAGTATTACGAACAACAACAACTGTGTTTTTTTCAGTATTGAACTTTCTTTAATCATATTTTTTCACTGTTGTTGTTGGTTATGATTTTTTTGTTTTGTTTTGTTTCGGGTACCCTAAAGTAATAATAATCGATATATACAAGCAGAATTATAATAATGATCGATCTATTTCTAATATAAGCATTTACCAATGTGAGT